ACTATTCACCAAAGTGGAGGTGGTTAGTGATGGATATTTACCGAGCCGCGAAGCGGCGAGGTTAATATCCACCACTAACCACTGACACTGAGGAGAATAGTTATATTAGTATATACTGAAACAGTGAGATAATATACACCACCGTCGTTAATTTGAGTGATTTCTTCACTTGTCATGGATGCAAACCGGGACGCCATTTTTTCCCGAGTTGCTCGGAGGTAACTAGCAAAGGATATTCGAAGTTTGACTAGCCAATCAGAGTGCACCTTCAACGCTATCCACTGTTTTAGTATATACCAATGGCTGATATACCATAATGGCTAAGCCGATAAAAAGTCTTGAATTGCATTATCCAATGATCTAGTTTTTAATAATTCCTAATTTACTGATAAGGAGACTTTTGTTAAAAATCAGAGCTTCTTTAGTTGGTGATCATCTCCTTTACTCTCATGACCTTTAAGTTTGATCTAGGAGTGATATTATATGGAGAATAAAGATGCCAGTCACTCTAAAGGGTTAATTTATGCCAAAACTTGTCACTGCCATCAATGTGTTATCTTGGCTGAGTTAAATATTGTATTACCAGCTGTGGAAGCCAAAATTTTTGTAATGACTGCCATCTCTCCCCCACGCCCCCCCCCCGACTATGAAAGATGTGAAATAAACTACATTTGTCTTCAGAATAGAGCTGTGAACAATCTCTGCATTTCAAACCTAACAACTGCAGAAGTAAGAGAAGAAGGAAAGAAAATTGTGTGATTTCTCATAAATTGCAAATAATGTCTGATGGATAATTAATTTTTGTTTTATCAACTGAGCTGATAATGTAAACTGGCCACTGTGAAGAGTTTTTAGAGGTGATGTTTTGAGTGTCAGCCTTTAGGGGGCAAGCATTAGCCCTTTGTGAACCCTTCACTCTAAGAAGGCTAATGCTTGAAACATGAGCTATAGAAACTCTCTCTTATGTCTGAATACAGTTGAACCTTGATTAACCAGACAGGTTGGGACTAGATAAAATAGCCCGGATAATAGAGGTCCGAGAGAACCAAAAAGTGATTAAATTAAGAAAGCTACATTTAATTGTGAAACAAAACATTTACAAATCATTTTTTTTTTTTAAAAAAATGGTCTAAATCTTCACTGTCCATTGTAATATTTTACATGTGATAAGGCCTACCATTTGTAAAATGCAATTTGATGGTTTGTCAGTATAGGACACCATTAATGATGTCTTGCACAAAGATGAATATTGGTGTCATCAGAGAATTAATCCAAAGTGGAGCCAACATGAGACTTACAAATAAAGATGGCTGGAACTGCTTTCATATTGCTGCCAGGTACATATACATGTACATGTTCAGAAGTGATTAACATATAACTTCTCCTTTTAATAGTTACAAATTATTCAGCAAACAGGCAATGAGAATACTCAAATTTATCAGTTACATAAAGTTATCTTAATCTAACACCTAATTCTCCTAATTAATTTACAAGGAAATGTGCAGCAGGTTGAGGGGAGAATTAACCATCAGATCTAGGGAGTTATTGGGTTAAATGCAGGTGAAATCAAAGATTTAAAAAAAAAAACATAGCTACAGAGTGTCTACTACCACCCACAAAGACCTCACTGATGTCTGTTTAGCTCTTGTGTGTGGGTTTCACCTTATTGCACAGCCGTTACACAGCCTATTCCACCATCTGCAGCTGCTTCAGAAAAAAGTTTTTGAGACCCCTCTGAGGTACCTCTGACTAGCAACAATGCCTCTCAGAACTGAACAAATATGTAACTGCTTGGAGAGAGTAGCAGTAGTTTTCTATAGGCTAATCAATTTTCTCTCTTTTCCACAAAACAATTATGTGGACAATAATGGACCAAAAGCTTACAGTTTTCCATGAGCTTTACCTTATGTAGCTTGGAATACTGTTCACTTCTTGCAACAGATAACGCATGTAGGCAAATATCCCAACATATATTCAAGCCAAATGGAAGTTGTTATAATTTTGTTTAATATTTGCTCATGCCTATCCTACTTTCATTGACTTTTAAAGGGAAGGGAACACAGAAATTTTGAATTATCTTCTTGATTGTTGCTGTGATATTTGGGACAGTTGTAGCAAGAATGGACG